GCACCACCCATATTGGAAATGCACGTCTCATGCTGCCAATTCACACGGTATATAACCGTGTGTGGTCCCGCACTCTTTTGCAGGGGGCACGCGTCCTGCTTGGTAGCATCCCCATAAGATCTGTAATCGTATGTGGTCTCGTCCCTCTCCTGAGGTGGACACTCGTCTTGCTCARTTTTTGCCCTCAACACCACCATTTCATGGTTTTCAGAACCCATGCTAAAAGTTAGGGTATAATACATTTTTAGTTATTGAATTTGAAGATATGTTTCTATTTGGTCCTTAAATTTCAAAAAGTGGCAATTTATTTCTTGCCTTTAGAATATTAGCTACAAATTTTGCTGAAAATTATGAATAGACCCTAGAATTGAAGCACCCATGACTTCATCTCAGTTGCTTCCTGCAACCTCTCCTCTTACCCATCTTCACTTTTTTCGGTTTCTGTACTCTAAGCCCATCAAATTGTAGTGATAGAAATACAAAGCTTCTAAAGACCTATTTGGTAACTTTAGTGTTTCTTGTCTCTCGTTTCTAATTTATTAAAAAATCTAAGCATTTGACAATTACTTATATTTCTTGTTTTTCATTTTTTTAGAAATATTCTCAAAATTCTATGGAAATTTCGGAAACAACAAAAACAAGTTTCTTGTTTCTTGTTTCTATTTCCAATTTGTTCCAACATAAATAAATATATTGTTTCATCATTCTTGAATCTATGGGTGTTGGGAGTCATGCAATTATATTTTTTTTATTAAAAAAATAACAAACAGAAACAAGAAACGAGATCGTTATCAAACGACCCTAAATCCACAAGATTTATCTTTGATTTCTAAGCCACCTTATTTGGAGAACTCGTCTAAATCTCTTAAACTAAAACCAGCAAGAGCTTCCGTAGGTGGCTATGATACCTATCTGAATAGAACTGGAGAAGAAGAATGGGGGAGGGACGAGATAGGAGAGAAGAGATCAAGAGGGAAAAATATCCACACAACATACAGATAGTATAAAAATAATAAATCTTGACACATCATTTAAAATGGTTAACTTAACAATGTTATGTCATTTTTACGTTAGTCAACTAACAGTCAATTTTGCTTAATGACCATTTAGAACTTTTTTTTAAAGGTCGGGTACCAAATTTTCACTTTTTGAAACTTAAGAACAAATCGAAATCTATCTTGTAACTCATGGACTAACTCAGGGACTAAAGGAGTATTTTACCCTAAAAACTATTATGATATCCTTTCTATCAATTGATTCACACTACTTGAAATATATGTTCCTAATGTGAAAGTTATTTCATTTTCTCGATAAATCTCATCAAATTTGGGGTATTCACCATTATTTAAACTAGTGATCAAATATAATTCTTTTAGGCCAAACCTTACTATATGTCCTTGAATGTTAAAGGCAAAATGTATCACTTGATCATTCATTAGATCACCTCTGATTAAATGTACCAACAATTGTGAAGAACGTCTCTTTATTACGAGGGATATATAGAAAATGTCAAAAGGATCATTATTTGAACATTTTTATCTATGTAATAATACAGAATTCCAAATAAAGTTTGTTTTTGAGGTAAAACATAACCTATCAACATTCAAGTATATCAATGGTATATCAGCATTAATATCAAGTATATAACAAAAGAATACTTTATTTAGTCACATAATTCTTAGGTTAAAATTTAGAGCAAAATAGTGATACAATCTTTGGGGAGACAATCTTTTATGACTTGCTACAACCTCACGTGATTAGGCATTAGGGTTGCTATGACAACAACTTCGTCGAAACCATGGAGGTCCATCCAACATGAATAAGCCTCTTCATCAGATCCTCTAACTCGTTGTATTTGACCACCATTGGAGCTTTGAACTTGTCTGGGAGCGGGATGCTCATGATGTCGTCTGTGAACGGGTCTTGACCGAACCTTTGCAATTTTTGGCGAGGTGGTTCCTACCATGACCGTCTTTGTTTGGGCCCGAAGATCGTTCCTACGCTCATTTTTCAATTCTCCCTTGAGCTTGTCTAGCTTGCTCTTCCATGAGTTGGCATGTGACTCCATGGTTGGGTGAGACGACATTGTCCATTGTCATTCTCAACCCATTTGAACATTAAAGAAGTTGATGACTTTGTAGCTGATGAAGAATTCCTCGTTCATTCATAACTTTACTTAGCATATTAACTGTCACGTCATCTTTCTATTAAGTCGATTAATAGACAACTCAATTCATGGTCCAAATATAAACAAAAACCAAATTTTATGGACCAAAAGTGTCACTTTTGAAATTTAAGAACCAAATATGACATTTGACCAAATATAAACAAAATCCAAACCTTATGGATCAAATATTTGGATTATAAATATAATTTTACCCAACCATTTCTGATAGCATTTGGAGGTATTATTACTTATATGAGATCTTTAGATTGATTACAAAAATTTGGGGTATTTTTTTCATTAAGAAGAAATTTAATTTGGAATTTGGAGCTGGTAAAAGTAGAAGAACCACAAGATTTGGTATGTAGTAGCTTGGGACATTTTCTTGGCGCATATGCTTTATATGATAAAGCTTAGAATTCCTTTCATAATCCAACAACTTTGTGGATTTGATCATTCATGTAGTGCCCTCTTTTCAATCACATGATTAAGTCATTATAGAGTGTTGATTCCATTAATGGAGCATATAGCCTACAATCAATCATGTCCCTAGATTGTACTAAAAGCACAAAAGATCATTTTAGTGATTCACATTAACTTTTTTATAAATATAAATTATTTAATCCGAACTTGAAAAAGACATATTTTTAACCAAAGTGAGCATATTTTAGCAGTCCGCAAATTTGTACTAGAAGAAAAAAGACATATTTTTAGACTAAATATATGTTGTAGATTTTATTTTTCCTTAATTGTAGTTCTTATAGTTTAAAAGGCTTTAATTTAACTAATTTTAGTATTAGACAATAGAAAGAATATAATTTTAGTAAACTATTTTAAACACGTTTCTTTTTTTGTTTTCTAGAACCCATTTCTTAAATTGCTTATTTAAATAAAAAAAAAAAAGTCAGCAATGGAAGCAAAACATGGCATGTTGCAACATGAATGGCTGTTTTTTTGAGATTGAAAGCATCTTCTAATCAAGCTTTGGAAGGAGTGTGATTATGGGAAAAGGGATTAGAAAGGAGTTTGGTACTCCACTTTCTTAAAAGTGAATCAGATTCTTGAAAGATGAGTCAACTCCCAAAAGAAAAGTGGATTATTCTGAAAGAGAGCTAATCATTAACTAAAGAGAGACTCAGAAATATGTTGGAATTGAAACGAAAGAAAAATCATCATTCATTCATATCCATTCAATCAATCAATCAATGATATCATTCATTCATATAGCTTTCTTGCATAAACAGAGGAAAGATTTTGAAAAGGTCATCTCATTTTCTTTTAAATCCGGCCACTCAGTTTTGCTTCTGTAAATATATATATATATATGTATATGTATATACGGGATCGGGAGGGAGGGAGGGCGGGCGTAGGAATTTGGTATACAATGAGCTGAGGGTGGTGTTTGTTTAAGCAGGCAGCACCAAAATAATATATAAACTTCGATTCCGTTCCATCTAAATATTTTACACAGAACTAAACTAAACTGAACTAATCTCTATCAAGACGAGACGAGACGAGCAGAGCTGAGCGACCGAGCAAAGCATAGGTTTCGTCTCTATTTTATTATTATTCATTCCCCTTTTCCAATAGAAGATATCGATCCAACCACCAATGGACAGGCTAGGCTGTGGTTTTGTGTTATATATATTCCAAAGGCCAAGGCCAAGGCCACAGACCTTCGCAGCATTTGGACTACCACTCTCAAAATGCTATATACGGCCGCTGCAACACCGTCGTCTTCTCTTCATGTTTGAATTCCGATGAATCTCAGCTGGAAGTAGGCCATAAAATATGACATCTCAGGATCACCCACTTGTTAACAATGCAGATTAGATTAGATTAGTTTAGTGTGAAACTTACGATGTTGTTCTGAGGCTGCCCCCAGTAGAAGCCTTGGAGAACCACAGGCAGCACATTGCAGGCAGCAAGAATGTATATCACCAATGCATGCTTTCCCATCCACTCCATCACCACACACATCCGCCTCCATCTATACACATCGACCTGCACAAACACACACAACCAAGAATTAACCGTGCTTGTAGATGTTATTATTAAACGAATTGTGGGTAGATCAACAAGGAGATTGTTTTATACCATCAAGTATATCCCGGTTAAGAGAAGTCCAGCTGCACCGGCAGTGACACTCATGTAACTAACTGTATAAAGAACCTTGTTTATATGCATTCCTGCAAATGAATGAGTTTTCAGTTCATTATGTACTCATTAATTCTCTCTGTACCAAATCATGGTTGGGGGTAGAATTCTCACTCACCTAAGAAGTCCAATCCAATGGCCAGCAAAACTAGACAAGAAGAAGGAATGATCCAATGAAGCATTCTGTCTCGGTGATCCTGCAAGTAGTTATTTTACACATACATGTACGGTGTTAGGATCCAAACGGTAATCTAATTATATTGTCATATCAAAGAGAAATTATAATATCAATAACTTTTCAAGAGAGCTATATCTCTCCCACAATCCATCCCCGGGCTAACTTCCCAAAATATGCCTAACCCTCAACTCCCTTGACCTCTTCTATTTATGATCACCCACCCTAGCAAACTATCAAGAAATTTTGTCACTACTAATATCCTAATAACCTTCCTAATAATTTCCTATTAATACTATAGGCCACGGCACTTTCCATATCACTGACCTTGAAATGGACAATGATGTGCCCAAAATGCAAGCCGACCAAGCAAGTCACAACAGCCATCACTGAACTACAAAACACAACGAGAAGCGATGAGATTAACAAACAAACAAACAGAAAACCACAAGAAATAGGAAATGGGTTCGAGAATGAAGATTCCTTCAAAATGTAATCACAATAAATTTTGTACATTACTTCCAGTTCATTGCCATGACTTTCCAAAGAATCAGAAGCAACATTGGGGAAACCTACCTTAAAAGTCCTTCTGGATCAAAAGGTGCTTGACACCAAGAAGGAGCATCAGGAGGCAGTGGACCAGAGTCTGGTGAATTAATGCTGCATTGCTAAGAACAGACAAACAAAGACACATGAGTTTTCAGGATAAGCACACCATTTAGGGGGGAAAAGATAATAGTCTCCTCAAATATTTACCTCAGACCGTGCATAAACAGGTCTTTTATACAGATGCTGAGTTCCAAATATCTTACGATCTATCATTCCGACAGCATTGCACGCTGGTCCAGTGTCGCCACGTGTGCCACATTTCACCTGCAATTGGGGCATTTGATAAATCAGCCATTCAGACACCAAATTATTTAACTATTCTGAGCCGTTGAATAAAAATAATATGACCAAAAGATTTAATGCTTACATAAAGTATCTTTGAAGAAGCCAAATGAGTAGTAGTTTGACTTGGAACTTGGTATTCCCAATCAGGAACATACAGCCCATATGACAGGACAAGATATAACGTCGTGAGGAAGACCGCCACAAACCTGTTGAGAGGAAGTTGGTAAAATTCAAAACTAAAAAGCAGAATGCAATACTAATCTTCATTCTGAATTCAAAATCTTCACTCTTGTCCACGGTGCATGTATAAACAAACAATTTTTGCCCCACATATCAAGCAGTACCGACCAGCATGAGTTGAATGCTTAAATTATACAAACTTTTCAAAGGAATTAATAGGTGATGCAAGGTCAAATAATTTGTTAGTGCAATTTTCTCCCTCTATGGGATAAAAATGCAAATCAAAAGATAAAAAAATGAGAAGGAAAATAAGTATACTTTTCTTTCTCCTCTCATTGTCTATAGAAGCATATCATTTCTCTTGGACTTCTCATCAATTACAATGTGAGATATCTTTAACTTTATGGTTAAAGAGAGATTATAAGATCAGAAATGCTGATAATTACGACATACTAGCCAAATTGTGCTGAAGAATAGCTCATTTAATGAGGAACAAGAAAAGGCAATCGAGGACAAGAATCTCACAACTGCCATTGATACTTTCTACGCAATGCAGCTTCAGAATTCACATAATCACTTCCCTTTAGCCATATCTCACACAGTGCTGCAAGAAAATATGCTATTGCAATTCTCTGTCGGAGGGGAAGACAAGAGAAATAAAAGCTATCAAATAACTGAAAAGAGTAACGAGTAAACAGCAAATAATTGAAGAAAAAGTTAAACCATCAATGTAGTACGTAGAAAGTATAGACCAGTCAGAGAAAGTAATTACCTGTAAGATTCCCATCCATCTAATTTTCTGAATATCCACTCCATAAGTTAGATTGTTTATGCCATGAAGAAAGCCTCCTGAACAGAGAAGAGTACTTTTAACCATAGTCCTCACAGAATAAGGTAATGTAAGGTAATGTAAGGTAATGTACCTAACTCATTTGAATATTTAAAGCAATCTCAATTTCGTAAACTTTAAATTTTACTAGTTTTGATCAATTCCCTTCCAGATGAGAGAACACATGCTCAAATTTCTGCAGTGTTAAAAGCCATAGACAACAGTTGAATAAATATTATACTTCTCAAAAATTACCTTGAAAAAAAAGGCCTAAGAACAAAAGCTTCAACATCCGCAACACGGCCTTCTGAGTTGCAATGCCTCGGCTTGGAATTTTCTGGGAAAGGGGAGAGGGAAATAAAAATAAACTTCTTGACGTGGGGGAAAAGGAAAAGGAAACACAACAATAAAATCCTCTTGATTTTGGGGAAAAAAATAGTTGGAATAGTTTGGAGGAAGTAGCAGGTGGGTTGCCTGCTACAATACTCCAAATCATTAAAACTGTTCTTGAAATTCTGAACCTTAGTAGAGGATTAGTTGTGATATGCCAATGTAAAATAAGAACCTAATTTAAATTTCAAACATGATACTTTCCATTTAAAAAAAATTGTGCTGTGCGTATTTCAATTGCTTAGAAGTTAAATGTCAATTAACGAAGGATTATACCTTGTATGCAAGCGCAAGTGAAACTCCAACAATGAATAGGAAAAATGGCATCACAAGATCTGCGAGGGTTAACCCATTCCATGGTGAATGATTTATTGCAGGCATAACCCCACCAGCATATTCCACCACTATCATTAGCTGCAAATCAAAGATGGATAAACTGAAGCGATTAATTTCTTTTTTTTTTACTGTGGTTTAGTCCTTATGCGTCTACCAATTAATCTATAGAATTAAGTTCATATAATCAATCATTCATAATATTTTGTCTTTGAAAGTCTCTGTACTGCACAGACAGATCACGCTTGGTTATGGCAATTTTTATAGTGACCAACAGAACAGGCATTAACCCTGTAACTGCTTGAGATACATTATACAATACAATAGAAACATGGCTTCTACACGTGAAATCAAAACAAAACATAATACACTCATCATAAGTTCAGTGATGTCGTCATGTAGACTTCACAATGAAGAATTACATTGGTTTCCCACGGAGCATTTCCATGCTTCATTCAACAAACATACTTAAAAACAAAGTAAAACTCGTGGAATCTAAGCTATTCAATTTGTTCCTATCAATGGTTGGAAGGCAAGCTAAGCTTAGCTACTTACTAGTTAGCATTAACATCTCTCTTAACAAAACTAACGTCGGTTCAGTTGCTGCATACAACCCCAGATCTTCTTACCTTCCATTGTTTACCGGGTATTACAAAAAATAAAGCAGACAGGAAAGATGTTCTTATGTCACTTCGGTTCTTTCAAAACCATAATGATCTGTGTGTGATTAGAGGACGTGGTAAACGCATGGGCCAAAGGCAGGCAGCAGAAGTTTTGGGGGCACTCTGATATTTAGGGGCAGGGTTGAAGGGAAGATGGTAAAAGTTCGTCTTGCACTAAAAAAGTTATATTATATAAAAATGTTAGATTTAAATATTATCCGTCCTTGTATTTTTCAACTTTGACTACTTTCAAAAACTCCACTTGTACCAATTTAATCCCTATTTACAAAATTTTAATGTAAATTTTATACTCAATTGAAACTTTTTAATCAAATTTATCGAAATTTAGTACAGGTCATGCTAAAATTATGATGGAAAAAAAAAGATCAAAATGATGAAAATAAATGGACCAAATGATTGAAAGCTGAACAAAAGTTAGAAAAAAAAAAAGCTAAAATAAACACAAAAAGTCAAAATTACATTAACCAAAAAATAAAAAGATTTTAAAATTCTCTCTAATTTTTCAAGTTATAATATTAAAAGAATTTCCCTCTTTCTGGCTCAAACCATGCTAGTGTCGCAAACTTTCAGCAGTCTGTGTAACCCCCTCTATAAGCTATTTCAAAAATCCCAAATTGAAGGCCAACCACTTTCTTCCAGAGAAATCCAACTATAGCATCAGTTCCCCCTTAGTTGGGCATGGCAACATGTAAAGAGTCCAAGCATGTCAGCCATCAACGGAAGGTTGGACAAATAACCTAACCGATAAAAAGAAAGCTTGCCTAATCGGAATGTTAAAATAATTGAAAGCATCAGACAGGTCTTGAACAACACCTACACCTAAAAGAGACACCGGTGAAAAATCACATCAAAGAGTCGACTCATAAGATGCAAAAGATCTTTGCGTGTCCGTCTTAAAATATGTGCATAAAGAGTAAAGTTGCCGCAAGGCAGTGATTTTCTTTTTGATTTCTTCAGGGCAAAGCCTGACTGACAGAAAGCAAGAGAAAACAGAAGAGTTCTACTTCAAACACCTTCTAAAGCAGGCGCCATTGAAACTTGCTGCGTCATCATGCACACCTTCTAATTCTATTATGCATGTCCTACAGAAATAATATGGCTTAATTGCACGCGGTTTTGTATAATATTGTCCATCTCTAACGCAAGCAATGGCCCCCCTGTTTCTGCACTACCAAAGTAGTGCTTCACCAGTCAACATCCTTTGTTTAATTACAAGGGACGACAGATGGATGGTGATAGATTGTAGAACATTATTTATTTTTATAAAAAAAAACAAACAAACAAATCAGAGGGGAATAACTAGAAATAATGGTAAAAACTTTTTCTATTTGAAAGGAAACCAGATTGGAGAAAATAATTGATTTGTAATTCTGAAAAATTCGGAAACATGGTCAAAATTAGGCTTCATCCCTTCCCCTAATTCCGCCCCAAAAGAAGGAACTCATATAATCGTTCGACGAACAAAACTGCGATTAAAACTGGCGTGAGGGGTTTTCTGAAAACCGAAACCCCCCATTAAATACTTCAATTTTAAAAGTCAAACAGATATTATTTCATCAATCTCCACCGAAGGGCAGTAAAATTCCACAAGTCAAATGCTTATATATTTTTTTTTTCAAAAAATAGTAAAACAAGTCCACAGCGAGAACAATGTTTTATATTTTTCCCCAGTGAAATAATATACGTGATTACGATAAATCCTAATGGCCAATAACACGAATAACAAACAAATCCTAGCATCCAATCGAAGAACACCACACGAATAACAAAACCTAACAAACGAAGCACATAACGGAAGCAATCAGGTAGGGGAAAAGAAAGGATTACCGCAACAGTAATGCCGCGAAAGACGTCGAGGGAAACGAGACGGTGGCACTGCTCCGGAGATCTATGAATGGGCCTGGCAGTGGATGAAAATTGGGCATCATCGACTTTAGAAGGAGCGGGAGCGGCATTGTGGAGCGGGAGAGAAGATCTCGAGTGGGAATCGGGAAGAGCCATCTCAAGGTCTTCATCAGTCCGATTACAGTGCTTGGAGAGCGAAACAAGAGTGACGGAACCGGGATTGATGAGAACAGCAGTGTCATTGGGTAGATCACAGTCGTCGGTTGCTTTGACAGGCTCGTACTTCCCCATCTCCTTCCGGATTGCCATTAGAGACGCAGCATACACCGAATGAAGCCCAGAAAAACGCAGAGATCGAGAGATTGGAAGGGGAAAAAAGAGAGAAAAAGAAGTGGAAGGAGAAGGATCAAGGGAAAAAGGGGAGAGGAGAAGAAAAAGCCTCCCCCGTAGTTTTTCCCTGCAAATACTTTGCTTTCCTTCTGCAACTCCTTCTTCTTCTTGTCTTCCTTTTCTCTCAAAGAAGTTCCATTGGACTGGCTGCTCCCTTCTTGCTTATTTATAGTTGGAACCAAACTGAAGCGAATATCACATAAATTAAATTTTTTTAAAAAAATTAAAATATCCTAATCTCCTCTTTTTCTAACTGCAAAGTTTTTTCGGAATTGCATTTTATGAGAGAAAAAAAAAAATTATGTCGACTCCACTCAGAGTACAGCTATAATAATAATAATAATTATTATTATTATTATGTTCTCCTTTTTTCCCTTTTCCGTGATGGGTTGAAATTTATAGTAGTGTAATTTGTGGGAATAGGAATATGGGAATAATAATAAGTAAAAGTAAAACTGAAAGATGGGGGTGAGATTTGAGGGGCATTAATTATGATAATCATGATTTTGTTGGGGGCGTGAGGGTCACGTGATGGGATGGAGGAGCCGGGCAGGGGCGGGGGGCAAAATCCTCTCGCCTGACGCCTCATCTGATTCTGACCCCTGCCCTTCACACTTCAACTGAAGGAGACGTTTGTCACGAAGCCTTCAATTTTTTTATCGTATTGTTTTGGTATTTTATAATTTACTAATTCATTAATGAAGGCCAATTTATTTATTTTGTGGGAATTGTTCTCCGATTGCTTGACGTGGCGCTTGTTGATTCGTCCGTTTTCTCGATTGGCCTATCTACCACTGGCGGTGGATACGGCGCCTTCTCCCTCCCTCCACTTCCCCTTTATCTCCCTTTTCTTTTCTTTTCTTCTTTCCTCTTCCTTTTTTATTATTTTCTTTTTAAAATTCTCTTGCATTTAAATCTTATTTTGATATTTTCTTTTCTTTTCTTTTTTTTTTTTTACTTTTCCTTTTTCTTTAAATTTCATTGCACTTAAATCTTATTTTGATATTTTTATTTAGGGGTACCAAAGCCAAGACCCAAAATATCGGTTCAATTGGTTTGTATTTATGCATAATTTAGATCCATTTGATTATCCTATAAATACTACTACAATTTTATATATTTATTAATTGTTTAAAACGTTTTCAAAATCTAAAGTAAAATTTGGAAACTAAAAATAATGTTGGGCTCCTTTGATTTTTTTTTAAACAACAAAAATTTAATAGAAAACAAAAATGAACTTTTTTATTTACTATGCTTTGAAAACATGTTTGATTAACCTAGCAAGTTGGAACATAACTCAGTGAATAAAATACTAATTATTATTAAGGTTGAAAGTAATCTTTCACTCTTCCAATCATTCAAGTTAAGAAAAATTCTTAGTTGTAGACCGACAATTTTTAATTTTAAATTCATAATTTGAAATTTTTTTAATGAATTTAGAAACATATAAAGTAAAATTATTTGCTTGGTAAAATATACTTTCATATGGAATAAGAAATTCATATATAATTTTATTTTCCTGTATCAAAACAAATATACATATAATTTTATTTTGCTGACAGAATCAATCCATTCCATGTCAAACAGAAAAGAAAAGAAAAAATCACTAATCTATATTTATTTTAATTGTTTCGTAAAAGATTAGACTGTTCTTAATTACAATTAAATATCAATAGAGATGTTTAAATTATATACTTTATGCAACAATATCATAGTTTTGTTGTTTCACTTTTTTCTTTTTGTCTTGTACTTTTTTGGTATTGTTTAAATTTTTATTCTTTTTCTTCTATTATTGTTTTTTAAAATGTAAAACTACAAACCAGTCAGAATTTAAAAAGTTGTTTTTCTTTTAAAATTTAGCTAATAATTCATATCTATTTTTTAAAATGTGATAAATCTATTAAAGAAATTGTGTGGAAGCAAATAATTTTTAACCATAAAAAACTAAAAACGAAATTGTTACCAAATAAGATCTTACAGCAATACTTTAATTCTTCCCGTTAATCTTTCCTTAATCATTTAATAAAAACATTTTAAAAAAGGAAACAAACAGCGGAAATACCACACAACCTATTGCATGTGCCTTCGTACACTTATCTAGATAGAGACTCTAAATTAGGTATATAAACAAAAAATGGACATGTATCTATGTGTTAGATCTTTGCTGAATAATTTATTACTAAATAAATGTCAATAATTAAAATAGTTTTTTTATCCAAATTTAAAATATAATAAAATATAAAATTAAAATACTAAAACAGATATTTAAAAGATTTTAAATTTTCCATATTTTTTCCTTTTTGTGAAATTACACTATATAGCATAAATTTAATAGGTATTTTTAAACATGTCATTTTGTTTCCAAATATAGCATAAATTTAATTTTTCTTGGTGTGTTTAATATTACATTTGAGTTTAAATTTGTGCTATTTTTATAAAATTTTAAAATGTAGGCTATATTTGAAAATACATCACTATTTTATATATACTTTTTGGATTAAAGACAAATTTAGAGGAGGCACCGTAGCCCTAATTTAAACCAAACTTTTTTTTTTTTTTTGAGTAGCTAATTTAAACCAAACCATTATTTAATTAAAAATAACCTTTCAAATTAAGGGGCGCAAATTGCATTCCTTCTTGACTCTTCCCTTCGTTTAAAACCAAACCATTATTTAAAAGAAAAAGCCTTTTAAGGGGGGAAAAAGGGACGATTCACATTCATTGTGAAGGCGTTGCAAGTTTCATGCTGTCTTTTCTTTTATCAACTGCTCCCATTCGCAGCCTCTCAAAGGCCATTAGATTAGATCATAATCATATTCAGTTTTCGATTCCATTTCCAACATTCTATAGAAATTGTCTTTCGGGGCTCGTTTGGTATCGTTCTGTTTCTTGTTTCTATTTTATATATTGCATGGTTTCAACTTTTAAGAATTCAATAAGACAATCTTTTTATTTATGTTTTGGAACAAATTAAAAATGAGAACAGTAAAAGAGAACTAGTTTTGATTGTTTCTAAAATAGAATGTTCCAAGATGGGAGAAACAATAAACAAAGTTAATTGAAAAATACTTAGATTTCTTAAGAAAATTGTACACGAGAAACAAGAAACGAGAATGTTACTAAACGAGCCCATATTTTACAAATGTCTAATCTACATTTTCAAGATTTAAATAAGTCTTTTTTATTTTTTAAATTTGTCTTCTGTAAATATCATTATATTTTAAAATTTATTATTTTCGATTTTCCTTAAAAAAAAGAGAATTTAGGGTCATTTAATGTAAACACTTACATTAATGATATTTAAATAAATAATTAAATAAATATAGTAACTCTTCGACGCACTCATTCTTGCTTAACCTTCCTAAGGTTCTTCTCTAAATTTTCCGGCATATATATTTTTAAGGTTTTAAGGTTTGAGATTTAGGATTTAGGGTTTTATTTCATTATTAAACAGAGAAATTGTCTCAATTGGGGGAGGGCTTAGGATTTCAAGATTTATAACTTTATTTATTTATTAAAAATATATGAATATAGATAGCTTGATAAGTTTCACATGACTCATCATAAACGGACCTCTATCTTTGATAAATCTGTAAATATTAAAGTTTTTAGACATCAATATAATTAGGTGCTTAAAAACGTTTAGTTGTGTTGTTATCCCGCCATTTTATGTGCTCCTCGTAATCGTACACGATTGAATCTGCGAAAGAGAACAAAAACAGAAAAAATATTTATGTAACAGTTACTAATGTCTTCCTTCCACAATTTTTGAGAACTTCGTAATCTGCTTGATCGAAAACAGCATACTATAATACAAGTTGACATCAATTGCAAATCCGTTGATGAGACTTATTTAACATCCAACCGTTGGTTTTGGTGCGATGCTTAATATGTCCTTTCACGTCAATCACAGCTCTCTCTCATTCGATGCACTAATACTAATCAGAGATACGTGTCTTAACCATAACCACTTGAGTTATGTTCGGTTCGGCAGCCTTATTAGTATTATTTATGATTTGTTAAACCATTTTTTTATGTTAATGGCTCGACCAAACCCACTAAATTTGGCCACAAAATTACAACCTACCGACTTATCTCTTTACCATATATTCCAATATCTCATTCCCATGCACCTCTCTCTCTAGAGGCTCTATTTTATTAATTTATTCACCTTCTTCACATGCATGATCTGTCTGCTACCAATTTTCCCATTCCACAGACATGCCATTTTATCCTCCAAATTGTTTATTTATTATCTATGCTAATACAAGCAACACTTTATTCTAAACAAATGTTAACCCATTGAAAAGGTTCTTAAAAGTGATATTGACACATTCTACAACATTATTTTAATTTCATAGTCATGACCATTATGGTGGAGTTTCAATATCTTCGTCATCTCTATCAACCAACGAAAGGAAAGTAGTTTAAAAATTCAAAAAGTTTGCCTCAACTAGGAGAAATAATACTAAAACCAAAAGCCAAGTAATAGCCCGACAATAGTAGGAGCGTAGTTGCCTTCTTAGAAACTAAGGATTTGTATCGTCACGTTCTTGTTTCTTCATTTTTTTATAAAGAGAAAATGAATTGTATGACTCCAACATCCATGAATTCAATTATAATAAAATAATTATTTTATTTATATTTTGGAATAAATTAGAAATGAAAATAAGAAAGAAGAAAATTGTTTTGATTCTTTCTAAAATCTCTGTACAATATAACTTTGAAAATGTTCAAAAAAAAGGAGAATCAAGAAGCATAGTTAGTTGCAAAATGTTTTAGATTTCTTAAGAAAATTGGAAATGAGAAACAATAAACATTATGATTACCAAACAGGTCCTAACTAGCCACAAGTTAGGTGCCTCCTTGGTAATGATTTTAAAATGAGCGATTTTAGCAAAAGAGGTTTAATGATAATTTATTTTGTGAAAATGATTTTTATATAATGATTTAGTTACACACTTAAAAATGCATTTTGAATGATCAATATTTGAACTTTAAATAGAGAATTTGGCAAAAATTTTAGAGAGAGAAAAGTTAGAGATGAGAAAAATCTTAGAGAAAAATTTTAGAGGGGGAGACAAAAAAATTTAGGGAAAAAATAAACAAAATTAAAAGATAACCAAAGTTAGAGAGCCACTAAATTTTAGAAATAAGAAAATTAAAAATTTTCAAATCTCAAGGTAAAAATAAGATG